CGTATTATGCTAAGCAAAATAAGTCAACCAGAGAAAGACAAATACTATATGATTTCACTCATATGTGGAATTTAAGAAACAAAAGAGATGAACATATGGGAAGTTGGGGGAAGAGAAGAGAAGGAAACAAACCACAAGAGACTCTTAATGATAGAGAACAAAGTATGGGTAGATGGAGGGAAGTGGGTAGGAAATGGGCTACATGGGTGATGGGCACTAAGGAGGGCACTTGTGATAAGCACTGGGTGTTGTATGTAAGTGATGAATCACTGAATTCTACTCCTGAAACCAATATTGCACCGTATTGTAACTACCTAAAATTTAAATGAAAAAAAAAATAAATACCTGGAAAAAAAAAAAAAAGAACTCTCCTCCCATTTTAAATTCTCAAGGGCATAGGGTATTTTCCAAGCCTCTTTCACATCTGCCAATCAAACCAAGACTGCAAAGCTAAACAGAGGACACCTTCTTGTACCAAAAATATCACTTAAAGATTCGAGATAAAAGCTTAAATACTATTCCCACAGGGAACAGACAACTTTAAATATTATTTCTATATTAGCACACAGCTATAGAGTAGATCAGAATGCATAAGACTAAGATAAAACACGAGACTTCAAGAGCTAGGCTGGCTCTATGTAGTCACTCTCCCTGTGATTAAGAGCGGATGAGTTGGAGTTGCAGAGAAGCAGGACTTTAGACCAGAGCTTCTCAAAGTATAGTCCACAGACTGATGCCAGTCCACAAACTCTTGTTACTAATCCATGATATAAAATAAATATCCAACTTGAGAATAATTATTTAGAAAGTCTTACAGAAATCTGATACTGCCATAACAAATTTGGACTTTTATTTTGCATTTCTTTCATTTTTCTCCCGTTCATTTTTCTAAATATGCATTTAGACTGCATTTCATAAAAGCATGGTCCACAACAGATTGGAATTTTTTAAAAATCCAACTGGCCCTTCAATACAGATAGTGTGTGAAGTACTGCTCTCACCACTGGGAAGGGTAAAATACATGATGATGTCACTGTTGTTTACAGAGAAGAAATCTGTTGAGACAAATACTGTCTGCATATCTAATCCATCCAGATCAAGAATTAATCTTTCCAACGGCACCTGGGTGGCTCAGTCGGTTAAGTGTCCCAACTTTTGATTTCCGGCTCAGGTCACAATCTCATGATTGTGAAATCGAATCCTGCATCTGCTGGTGCTGTCTGCTGTCTCCCTCTCTCTCTGCCCCTCCCCTGTTCTCTCTCTCTCTCTCTCTCTCTCTCTCTCTCAAAAATAAACATTAAGAAAAATAAAGAATTAATCTTTCCCTTGGATTCATCCTTATTTAAAACTCCCTCTACTAATAGTGAATTTTCACTCTGGACATATTTAAAATATAGTGATTATAGTCCTTGGGTACCCATCATAGCTTAAGCCTCAGAAACACCTACATCCAGATGATATTAATGGTAATCAACACAGAGAAAAAAAATCTGACAAATATTTATGAGAGAGAAGGCACACTTTAAATTTAGGCTCCTAAAGATAAAAGTCACTCAAATGGAACAAAAGAAACTGAAACCTAAAAACAAACTAAACAAAAAATTTTCTTCTAAAGTCACAGGATCTAAGGTATGTGTGGCTGTTAACTAACTTGGATTTAAATTTTATTATTATTAAATATAATTTATTGTCAAATTGGTTTCCATACAACACCCAGTGCTCATCCCAACAGGTGCCCTCCTCAATGCCCATCACCCACTTCCCCTCTCCCCCAGCTGTGACCAACCCTCAGTTTGTTCTCAGTATTTAAGAGTCTCTTATGGTTTGCCTCCCTCCCTCCCTCTCTGTAACTTTTTTTTCCCCTTCCCCTCACTCATGGTCTTTTGTTAAGTTTCTCAGGATCCACCTATGAGTGAAAACATACAGTATCTATCTCTG